TTGGTCACTGCCAGACATCAGGCTAACACACTGGTTAGGTGGAGAGGATGGCTGGGGCAAGGGATAAACTTTGTGATTGACATTCTCTGTTGACTTTATGGGAGAATTGTAAGCTTTGTATGTAAACGCCTGCCCAATGAATTCCATTTTGAACTTGGATAAAGAAAAAGAATCCAAGGGTTCAACCTTTATCATTTGTTCCTGCACTAATTCAGGACTGTTGTTGTTGTTGTTAAGTATCGTGGAGTTAGTTCCGATTCATAGTGAACTGCTAGTTTGTTTCATAGCTGTAAAGCTATTGTACAGCTATGAAGCAAACTTGTAGCTCTTGGTTTTTTCTCTGGTGGACCTTCTGAAAGCTGAGTCAGGGCCTCTCTGGTGATTCTCTATCTTCAGTCTTTAGCCTTCTATCTTTTATTAGAGATAAAAGACTTGGTTGGATGAGAAACCCATCTTTTGGATCTTTAATATGTATACTTTTAGGAGTTTTTGTCTGATCACTTTCATTGTGTATAGCAATATAACTATTTAAATTAAAGTTTGTGGATTCTGGAATAGATTTGGAAGAGAAAAGCATTACTTACTCCCCTTGAGATGATGACAATTTATTTGGAGCTCATGGCATTGTTGATGGTTTGCAGTGTCTTTCAGGAATTTATAGTAATTGTATTCAAGTGCCTTGCCCAAATCTTTAACATTAAAAATGATCAATGAAACATTTGTTTCAGTTGGCAGTGTATTTTTTATGCCATTTCTTACAGTTTGTGCAAATAATTTTTAGGTTCAAGGACACCAGGAAGTAGGATTTTTTCCTGTCATCTTCAGAGTTTTTCAAATTTTCAACTTCAGTCACATTTGCACTGAAATATGCTTTGACTTAATTGCTTAAATATGATTTTTTTGTTTTGTGTCCACTTCTCTACCTTGATGCCTGCTATGCTTTCTTCATTTCTAGTTCCATTTTCAAGGGGATGTGGGTTCAACTCCAATCTTTGTTCTTCCCCATAACCATCTCTGCTGTATTCCATGAATTCTGATTTGACGCCATTTACTGGTTTGTCATCAATATCTGTATTCCATGAATTCTGATTTGACGCCATTTACTGGTTTGTCATCAATATCTGTCTCCAAAGCAGAATTCACAGTTTTCAGTACAGCAAACAAATCTTTCAATTCCTTGTTGTTGTGTGCCATGGAGTCGGTTCCAACTCATAGCGACCCTGTATAGCGTTTCTGAGGCTGTAAATCTTTACGGGAGCAGAAAGCCTCATCTGTCTCCCATGCAACAGCTGGTAGTTTCGAACTGCTGACCTTGCGGTTCGCAGCCCGATTAGTAACCACTACGCTACCAGAGCTCCTTTTTCTTAGTCCAGGCTAAATTTTACAGACTGTCTCTGCCACCATTCTGTCTCCACACCAACCCCACCCTCAGCTTTGCCAAATGCTTCCATTAGATTGGCATAATAGGTTACTCCTTGTACTGTCAACTGCAATGTCAGCAGTTTGAACCCACTACCCACCCCAGAATAGAAAGATGAGGATTTCTGCTTCCATAAAGACTTATAACCTCAGAAACTCTATATAAAAGTCACTAAAAGTTGGAATTGGCTCAGTGGCAATGGTTTTGTTTGTTTGCTTAATTAGGTTCATGAATGTTTATAATTCCTGTATTTTCTTAATGAGCTGAAGCTTTTCTCATTATATAATGACCCTTTACATCCCTATTTTATTGGATATTAACTTCATTAGACAGAATATATATATATATATATATTCTCCTGAAGTTTCTAAGAGATAATCCTTCTTTGCCTCTCCCACCTCCTGATGGTTCCAACGTTCCTTGGCTTGGGGTTAGATGACTGTCATCTCTTCATATGACTTTATCTTCATATGACCTTCTGCCCTGTGTCTCTGTCTCAAATCTCCTCTCCTTTCTAGTATAAGGACACCAGTCATTGGATTTAGGGTCCTCTATGAATTCAGGATGAATTTATCTCATGATCCTTAATGACATCTGTTGTTGTTAAGTGCCTTCAAGTTGTTTCTGACTCATAGCAACCCTGTATAGGGTTTTTGAGGAGCAGTTGGTGGGTTTGAACTGCCAACCTGTGGTTCTCAGTCCAGTGCTAATCCTAAAGCACAATGACTCTTTTTTTCCAAATAAGATACCTATTCTGGGTTCCAGGGGACATATGTTTTGAGGGTCAAGATTCAATTCACTAAATGGAGTCCCTGGAGAAGAAGATCACATTTGGTAAGGTGGAGGGTCAGAGAAAAAGAGGAAGACCCCCAGCGAGATGGGCTCAAGTGTGGCAACAATTGTGAGGTTGGCCCAGGATCAGGCAGTGTTGTATTCTGCTGTGCATAGGGTCACCATGAGTCGGTACTGACTTGATGGCACCTACCAACAACAACAATGGAGTCCGGATGGCTCAGTAGTTAAAGCATTCAGCTGCTAACCAAAACATTGGCAGTTTGAATCCACCAGCCACTCCATAGGGACAGATTTGACAGCCTTGGAAATCCTTCAGGGCAGTTCTCCTCTGTTCTTTAGGGTCACTCTGAGTTGAAGTTAACTCAAAGGCAGCATGCTTCTTGTTTGTTTGTTCAGTCTACTACATGGAATCCAGCCACTTTGTCAAACAGTCGTTCAACCAAATCATGGAAATGTCCACATGTAGAGGACACAATGCCCCTGCCCTACAGCCTCAGTTGAACTACTAGCCTACAGCCAATAATAATTGTTAGTCATGTGAATGAGTCATCCTGGAAGTGGAGCCTCCAGCCTTAACTGATGTCATGTAGACAAGTGCTGTTCCCACTGAGCTTTACACAAATTGCAGATTTGTGAGCAAAACAAATGCTTTTGTTGATTGTAGTTACTTCAAACCACTATGCTTTGGGTGATTTGTTATGCAGCAATAGATCTCTGAATGGATCACAGAACAGTGATGTTTTTCATACCTTATATTTCTGCTGGTTCTTTTTTATGCTTTCTTTTTGTTGTTTCATATTGCTAATATTCTCCCTTATTTTTTTAACCCCTTCTGTTTTCATATTTATTAGCTAATTTTTAATTCTTTTAAAAAGTTTTTATTTGTGAGTTATGTGTAATTTTGAATTCTTGATCTATGTGTTCTAATAATTTTCTTGAAATAATTTGCAATTGAGTATGTTTTTATTTGAATTGGGAGCTATGGGAAAACTTTGAAGGCTAATAGGGAGGTTAATTCTTTTATTCAAAAAAACGTTCTGGGGTCATATACAGAGGATACCTGGATATCTTAAAGACGCCCACCCACATACTCTACCTTTGTGAAATCACAGTCTAACAGGAATGACAAACATTAATCAAAGATTCCTACAAACACATTTCTCCCAACTGGGTAAACTGCCCCAGGGGAACTCATATTTGGGTCGGGGTGGGAGCTGTCAGAGAAATTTTCCAGGATGAGGTGGTGCTATGTATGTAAGGAGGAGATTGGTGAAGATGGGGGCAGAGAATAGGAAAGCATTTCCAGCAGAGTGACCTCAAGTGGGTCTGTGGATGGGAAGTAGGGTCTTGAAGGACTAGGTTGGAGAGATCAACGGGGCTAGATAGAACAGGGCCAAACAAAGGGCCAGGCTTTCTCTTCAGAAGAGATGGTTCTACTGTGAGCAAGGAGTACAGTTAGAAGGCAGCTAAAGTGGGCTGCCCGTGGCTGATGGTGACAGTAGCGTGAGAGGCAGGAGGTCAAGTCTACGGACCCTGCCTGCCCAATGACTGTTTGGGAAAGGTAAGAAAGGTGGTTGGTTGAGGGTTCCCTGAAAGTGCCAGCAACTCTGATTGGGCCCAGAGGTAGGGGCTGGGAGGAAGCAACTATTAGAGCAGGTGCCTCAGGTCAGTCCGCTAGATACTGTTGAGATAATTCTAAAGTCTGAGTCGAGTCGAAAGGGAGAAAAATGGAGATACACAAGTAAAATGGACTTAAGGGTTTTCTGATAGAGAAAAAGGGAGCTGAAAGAACAGCCAAGAAAGATCAAGATGCTAAAGAAAAGACAACTGGATCAAACCGATGTAATCAGTGGAGTAGAAAGTGAAAGAGAACAGTTAGGAGCAGATAAGCAACAAGCAATCCTGGTATGGTGCTGTAGGATAAGCACTGGACCTTAAGGTCGGTTTGAAACAAAAGAATGGCGGTTCAAAGTCATCAGCTGCTTCTCAGAAACTCTACTCAGGGTCGCTATGAGTCAGAACCGACTCTCCGGCAGGGGCAGGGAAGGCACTTAACAAGTAACAAGGACTTGGGTAAATGAACCCCCGGCAGGCGAGACTATAAAAGAGAGTTAAAATGCAGAAATGTGCTTAAAGGGCCCAGTGTACTGTCCCAAAGGCCTGGGGAAGGAGGGTTCCTTCTCCTGAGGGGGCAGCAGGCTCTGGGGGAAGGGATCCCTGGGGACACACAGCCCCAATTCCTGCCTGCACCTGGTCCGTCTGTATGCATGGGCTTCCCCACAGGCTGCACGGAGTTTGTACAAAGTCCTCTGTGGGCCGCGGGACTCCCAGATACCTTCAACTTGGAGCGGCTGCAGAGATGGGGTGCCGGTCAGGGACCAGACCTTCCTACTGGCATGGGATCAAGATGGTGGTGGAGATGGGGAGAGGGTACTCAGGAATGGAGAGAAGTCTTATGCAGGACTAGGATGGCCTCTGAAATTCTAGACAGGTCCTGTGCACCTCCCTGAGTAACAACAAATGCCATGGAGCTGTAACTAGGCAAGGCGCAGGACTTGTAGCTCAGACAGCCCCACAAAATGAGAAGGCATTTCCCCAATTCACCAGTATCTCAACAGAGGATCAGAGAGAGCAGACCCCACCCCAATATCACACAGGAGTCTATCCTGTCCTCGAGAGTTTGGAGATACTTGTACGGGTTCTTCAGGGGCTTCATCCTGCTAGGGCCCCCCCTCGGGGAGGAGCCGACCCGAGCCCCTCCCGGCTCTCCGCCCCCGAGGGGCGGCCCGGGGGGCGGGCGGAGGAAGTGAGCGCAGCGGGGAGGAATGCACGCGGGCGGGGCGCGGGTCTGGGGCGGTGGGGACTGCCCGGCAGGCGGCCGGGGCGGAGCGCGCGCGATGCCTCACTTTACCGTAGTGCCGGTGGATGGTCAGCGGCGCGGCGATTACGACAACCTCGAGGGTCTCAGTTGGGTGGACTACGGGGAGCGCGCCGAGCGGGACGACTCGGACGGTGAGGGCGCGCCTTGAGGGGCCATGGCTGGGCAGGGGCGCGAGCCACGCGGAGCCGGCGCTTCTACCCACAGCCACACACACACACACACACACGCACACACACTGGATTTCGCGCGCGCACGTCGATGCGGGCCCAACTTTTCTTCCTTGGCGCCGCCGCCGCCACCCACCTCTGCTCTGCGAGCGCAGACACGCTTTTTCTCGGCCCCCTGGCACTGGGCCGTTCTCCCCACCCCAACTCCTCCCTGCCAGCCGCGGGCGGGGGCTGCAGACGTGGCCGCTGGGGGAGGCCAGGGCCGCTCCAGGCAGGAACAGCTCTGAGTTCCCATCCCCAGCCTCTCCAGTCTTGGAGCATTAAGCTGGGTCGGACCCTAGCCCCTTCCCTTTCTGGGAATCAGCCCCTTCCCCATCTCGTCTTGTCTCTCTACTTGTGATTCAGCGTCTCTGTCACTAATACCACCCTTTTCCCCTCCAGGGGTTGGCCAAAAGGGTGTGGCTATGGGTAACTGCCGGGGGGGGGGGGGGGGTAGGGGGGGGTGAGGGGTGCTCTGTGTTGTTAGGGCGCGCGTCAGTGGAGCATTCAAGGAGCCAATGCTTAATATGAATTAACTCTTTGAACTACCCTCATGAGTTGAATATTAATACTCGCACTTGGGAAGGAGTGAATGGAGGTTTGAGGCTGTTAATTAACTTGCTGCAGAGAGATTCAAACTCAGGATTTGAGACTCCAGCACTTTAATCTAGACTGGGCTTCTCCCTTCACCTCTAAATGTCCCTTTCCCCAATCCCTACCCCATGAGGCTCCCAGGGCTCTGTCCTTCAGCCTCCTCTTGGAGTGGGAACACCAGGTAAGAACCCAGTCTGTGTGGGTTAGTGTGCTGGTGGAGGGATGAAGCTGTAGGTATCAAGGACAAGGTTGGGTCAGGTCAGAGCATTCTCATTGCCACTTTCCTGCCTGGGGTTATCAGTGATTAGGATGTTGATATGTCTGATGATGACAAATGCTGAGACATCTGGGACTGCCCATGATGAAAACACGGTTGGTGAAGTGATCTTGACCTGCCTCTGATCTGGCTGTGATGTTGACATGCTTATTAATACACATGACTAAAGTAATTCGTATCTGGTGTAGGTGATGACCATTTGCCAGCTGCATTTGTGTCCCTGTTCTCCCACCTAGCTTTGTCCATGTGGTCAGAGCAGGAACTCCCTGTCCTGGGAGTCTTCTCTCCCGACAGGAACTACTGCTACTCTGGGGTCACCCTCAACCTTGGCCCCTCACAGGGGCCACATTGGCTGATCGCTCTAGGCTGGGCCAGCTCCACCCACTACCCCCTGCCTTCTCTTACTCCTTTTCAGCCTAACCTTGTCTGTAGGATGGGGGACACCCTACGCCCTGGTGAGTGATTTTGATCCTTCTTGGTGGGGACTGTAAGGGGTCGGGGGACACAAAAACAGTGAGTTTTAGGTCTGTCTCTTGGAGCTCCTAACCTGATACCTGAATCTCTCCAGGTTCACCTCTGCTCCAGGTTCACCATGGGCCTGCTTATCCAGCTCCAGCCTGACCTGTAGGGTAATGGGAGAAGGTCCTGGAAGGGTACCCCAGGCAGATGTGTTTGTGCCCAGGGATCGGGAGGGTCATCTGACCACCTGTAGCGTATACATTCAAGCTGGACAGGGAATACACATACAGGTATGCTGCACAGGTATCCCCTAGGCTCAGGTTCACTGGTAGGAGGGGGCAGGGGTGTCTCAGGTGGTATCAGCAGCTTTAGCCTGGCAGGCATGCCCAGACCTGTCCTGGAATTTTTGTAATAGCTAAGGCCTGAGCAGGCAGCCTGAAATTAAGGACAAACATCCAGCCACTGATCAGACCCCTCTACCTTCCCACAATCTCATGGACTAGGCTTTGGAGAACTTCAAGGAGTGCTTCTGGGTATCTGCTGTCAGCATTCTAATGCATGTAGACAATTGGAAGAGGGGCTGCTGCTGTCTACTTCATAGAAGAAACCAAAGCAGGGCAGAGAGGATAGGCAGGTTGCTCTAGGTCTACAGGAGGAGGGCAAGGAATCAAAGCCAGGTTACTAGCCATCTGGGTACCCAGACCCCTGGCTGGGAATATGGATCCCTGGTCAAACTGCATCTCCCAGACACCTTTCTATATTTATGGCTGGTGCTGTACCTTAGAGGTACATGCTAAGATGGAACCTTAAAAGGCACAAAATAGAAACAGAGAACTTGGACCCCAGTTCCCATCTAGGTCTGGTGGATCCTGGGATCCAGGTTTGGCCCATTGTGAGTGACCTTTGCCTCTGAACTTCTTAGGTCCTTGTCACTAAAGGGAGTAAATGATCCTACCTAAAGAGTTGGAGTCCTGCTGTGGTGTTGCGGGGTCATTGGATTGCTAACCACAAGGTTGGCGGTTTAAACCTGCCAGTGTTGCTGTGAATCAGAAGGGACTTGACAGCACTTCACAATAACAGCCTGGAGAATTACTTTGAGGACTAGCGCTGCCCTAGAGAGAAGCCTGAAGGGACAAAGGAGTGACTAGGTCTTAGACAACCATCTGCAGGCATTTTTCTTGTGCTGCTCAGCTCTGCATTTTCTTGACAGAACCATCTTCTCAGAAACACAACAAAACACAGGTAGGGGAGGCGGCAGGACATACATTTAGAATAGTTTATAATGTGTTTCCAACCTACTTCCATAAAAAGATCAGATTTTGCCTCAAAAGTGCTCCCCCTGCCCCAAGAACTATTACAGCAGAAAGATCCAAACCATGCACAGGAAGGGAGCAAGGACTCTGAGATGAGACAGATGGTGATTGTGGCAACAGAATAAATTTAGCTGAGAGATTCCTAGCAGCCAAGGCAGAAAGAGAAATAAGATGAGTTCTATAGCTGCCATTTTTGACATTAAATCTCTGACTTCTTCAAGAAAGGCACTTTATTTGTCACAAAAACTCAGGATAATTTTCAGAGGCCTCTTACTGTGGGGTCATCAGTGAGATGGGCAATGTTGCTAAATTTTCAGATTTTTCTTGTGACTCCTTATTTTGACCCTGAGCAAACATCAAGGGTACAGCAGATATCATAGAGTGTCTGTGAACTACGTGACAACAAGCTTGTTTGGTTTCTCCTCTTTTTGGCTTGATCTCCAGCCACCTTTATCCACTGTTCCATTGACATTGACATGCAGTTAGGGAACATAGGACTTAGTTGCTTGGCACAGTTAGCTAGCCCAGGTTACTGGATGATACTGATTGATGTACTGCTTTCACATACCATGGAAAGGAAGAGCTGATTTTGTCCTGGAAATTTTTGCCTTGGAAATTGTCATGGGCACACTTACCTGTCTTCTTTCTTTCTTTCTTCCTTTCTTTTCCTTCCTTCCTTCCTTCCTTCCTTCCTTCCTTCCTTCCTTCCCTCTTTCTCTCTCTCTCACTCTCTCTCCGTCTCCCCCTCTCCCTCTTTCTCCCTCTCTCTCCCTCTCTCTCCCTCTCCTCCTCCCCTCTTCTCCTTCTCTCTTTCAGCTTTTATTGTGAATAGGAGTAATGATTTACATGGGAGGACATCTGTTTTGCACTCATCCTATTGTATTTTGTTTCATTGCAATGATTATAATCTCCATGCGTCATCATTTAACAGTGTTTGCTTCTATTCCCTGTTTGTTGTTGTTTTTATGTACACAGAAACACTCAGGAATATATAATCATTTAAACAACCAAAGGGCACATTCTGCAAGCCTGCCTCCTGGCAGTCAACACACATCCGTTCTCTTTCCATGAGTCTGGAGTCCTCAGTTGCACTCTCTCTCCATGCAATCACCTCTGCCTCCATCTCTGTTGTTGCTGCTTCTCTGGTTAGGGACCCATGTTCTGCTCTTGCTCATCTCTCTTGATGGTCCTAAGGTCCTCTGTCCCTGGAATGTAAGGTTAACTACTCCCCCCTTTATGTTACAAAACTTCTACCTTTACAGTTGTGACAATCACAATTATTCATGATATTAATTACTCACTATTGTGGTGCTGTGGGCTAATGTGCCAGACCGCAAAGCTGTTTGAACTGCAAGGTTGGCAGTTCAAGCTCAACAGCTGCTCCTTGGAAACCCTATACAGGGTTGCTATGGGTCAGAATCGACTTGTCGGCACTTCACAACATCAACAACATTGAATCAAAAGAATCCTATCTCCATCTCCTTTCACCAGACCCATCTAGACAAGATGAAAACTATTCATTGGGAATTTTACCTCCAGGGTGCCCCCCCACCACTCTGAAACTAAAACTCTTCTTGAAAACTTATAAGCCAGCCACCTCATGGCTTTATAGCGTCCCTCATTTTAGGTAGCCAATGTCTAAGTTGCCAGTTCCTATCAACCCTTTATACTGAGGGGATAGGTTGGTCCTTGATGTGATGACTTCTTCCCTCTCAGTTGGTATTTTGAGCTACTACATCTATAAGTAGCTCTGGTAGCGTAGTGGTTACGTATTGGGCTGTTAACTTCAGGGTCAGCAGTTTGAAACTATCAGCTGTTCTGTGGGAGCTTTTTGCTCCCATAAAGATTTGCAGCCTCGGAAACCCTGTACAGGGTAGCAATGATTCAGAACCAACTTCACAGCACATAACCACCAACAACCATAATGATAAATACAGGTTACATTCATCAAATTGTAGCAATTTACACTTGCATCCTTTATCAGATTTCTTTATCTTCCTCTAGTTTAGCTCTGGTCATGAAGCCACCTAGGCTAGATCAAATGGGTCTATTAATTTCCTTTGAATGGTAAAAAAAATCCACCATGCAGCACCTGCTGAGTGGTCACTGGCTTAGAGGGGACAAGTGAAATCTCATCCCTTTAGCAAAATGTATCAAAGGGAGGAGGATGCATCAGTCAGCATTCTCAGCTGCAAACAATAGAAATTAGTTCTAACCTATTTACACCAAAAAGGTTGTTGGTGGTTCTCATGGAATCAGGCTAGGCCAGCACATGGGCCGATCACATGACCCATCTAGGCTGGTGATAACATTTTCATCACCATACATCCTGTCATCACTGAGGCCCTGAAAAGTGTATACTGCTGCTACACTAGCTGGCATCCAGCATCAAGGTGGCTCCTTTGAAAAATGTCTGCTTTCCATTTGTTGGGAGACCTTGAGCTAGTGCCACAGCACCACTGCCAGACTATGTGGGGGTAAATACAAAGCGTTTAAAAAAGGGAATACTGGGTGTCTTCTGCCTGTGTGATGGAAAGCTGTTACCCACTAAGACTCATAAAGGACAAAATTCTGAAAACAGGCAACAGTGTGAATGCTATGCAGCCAGAAAAAAAAACAGGAAAAAATGCTGACAGGGAAGAAAGAGGTTTATAAAAAGGTGCATCTGGCCCCATTCTATAAAGCTTCGTTGGTGCCTACACGCTATCTATCCAGGCTGATGCCACTGGGGATGACTGGACTGGTCAGGGGGCTGGTTCGATAAGCCACATGGAGTATCCTAGGGCAAGTGGCCTGGGTCTAGGGGTAGGGAGGCTAAGCAGTGGGCTCCTGACAGCTTTCCCTGGCTACTGTCCAGTACCAACTCTTCCTGGCCTTCATAGAATACCTGATTGGTTTTGTACCCAGTTGCACTATTTGCACTTTTTCTAGCTCGCCCCGCTTCCCAGCATGCCCCTGGTTACCTGCACCAGGAAGCCCCCACGCAGTGCATGGTGGGATATCTAGCGGGAGACTTGTCAACCATGGCGGCGGAAGGTGCCCTGTGCGGCTTCATTTATCTGAAGGGCAGTGCACGGGGGAGCGTCGAGGACAGAGCTCTTGGCGCCTGGGACACTGAATATTTCAAACCTGCTGATAAAGTAGGGGTGGAGGGAGCCCCCCAGGTGGGCCAGGACTGGGCTCCGCCCCTCTGGGCAGGCTCCGCCCCCGGTGTTCACACGTGCCTGTGCTGATGTCGCTGGTGCTTTCACAGCAGTGTCCTTCTGGAGGGATTGGCTGCTGGGTTTGGGTCACTGGAGACTCCGCTGTTAATCTCTGGATCTTCAAGGATGGGGAAGCAGGCCCAGCGTGGTCACTTGAGCCACTAAAATGCTACCCAGTGATGAAGCTTTGGATACTTCTGGGGAAGGATGCAGGCTCCTGTCTCAGGAAGCAACCACTGACTAGGATTCTGTCTCTCTCCACAGGTCATGGCAATCACAGAGAGAACAGCCCTTTCCTTTGTCCCTTGGAGACTTCCAGAGGAAGTGACTACTATGACAGGAACCTGGCACTGTTTGAGGTAGCTGAGGAACCATTTTGGGTCACAGGTGTGATAGGCAGGCAGGCAAGCAGATTGGCAAGCGGGAGGTTATGCAACCTAATTTTTGATTCCTTCTTCAATTTCCCCTCAAGGCCAAATCAGGCTGTGGTTTTCTTGGCCCTTTGTACTGAAACTGCTTTCTCTGTGTCCACTCACAGTCCCACCCCCATTGTCATCTGCATCCTTCAGCAAAGTGACCACCCCTATGATTCAATTCCTAGCACATCTCAGTCCAGGTCCTTCTGTCTTCTCGGGGCTCCTTGTCCTTGCTCCCTTCTCATTCACTGAGGCCTGTGCTTCCCACTGGATCTGCCCCATCCCCCCCCGCCCCCACCTTACCTCTCTAGAAAGACAGCCACTTTTGTGCCTTTGAACATTAATTTTGTCATTTTAAACTCATGCTCAGAAGGAATTCTAAACTTAAGACTTGAGTTAAGCCCTTAAATTCTGATCCATACATACAGCCACTCCATGGAAATTCCACCTCGTGGAAAATCTTTGTATGCCTTAAAGGGCCTGCATCTTCTATTCTACCTTCAAATCAGCTTTTCATGTCATGACAGAGGGAGCTAACAGAAAAGGCAAGGTTAAATGTGGTGAGAAAGTGCTGGTAAGGCTGCAGGAGAAGGAAAACCTAGTCACGGTTAGGAATTGCAGAGCCATAGCTCTAGGGAGGTTTTCTGACTTGGGAAAACAGCAAGGTTTTGCAGTGAAGACCTTGACTTGGCCATACCTCCGGATGGGCTGGGGAACCAGGATCCCATCCTGGGGATGGGACTGAATCTCTCGAAAGGACTGGAGCCTGCGGAGAAGACTATTGAGAACATTGGGACTTGGACAGACAGGAGTGACTTCATTTGTTCCAGACACCCACCTTTAAACTTTCTCAGTTCCCTGGCATAACTGGGGCAGGCCATTTTGTGGGGGTGTTGAGTGCAGAGGTGAAACTGGTGGGGTAAGGAGGGTGCCGGCAGAGCAAGCAGGCAGGTATCAATGATGAAGTGTGCCACCCGCTTGCCTGCCAGCTGTGTCCTGCCCTGTCCACTCTCCCCTGAGGCAGATAGTTTTCACAAATGGGCTGGCAGTGATTGCAGCCAAGGTGAGGCAGAGGGAAGCAGCCGTTGGGCTGGGCCTTTGAGGGCCCCGTGCTGGGGTGTGGTGCCCGTGCCTGTTCAGTTGGCTGGCTTGGGTTTCCCCAGGCAAGAGCTGGGATCAGGTCCAGGCCTGCCTCAGGGCTTGGCACACACAGGTAGCCTGGCACAGGGCAGGCCCATTGCCAATTTGCCCTGTGGCTTTGTTTACAGGAAGAGCTGGACATCCGCCCAAAGGTGTCATCTCTCCTGGGCAAGCTCGTCAGCTACACCAACCTCACACAGGGTGCCAAGGAGCATGAAGAGGCTGAGAGTGGGGAGAGCATGCACCGGAGAGCAGCCAAGGTGAGTTGGTCAGGGGCCATACCTGGAAAGATGGAGCCAACTCCATGGGATGGCAATTTCCCCATCTGATCATAAGGGCTTCGGGGAAGACGGTGCAGGTGCACTGTGAGCATGAAGGAGGGGCACTCCTCAGGCTCAATGAGGCTTCAAAACATGGACTAAGGGAGGTCCTCAGAAATGACAGAGTGACAGCTGTCACTTTACTCAGCCCTCTCTCTTTTCCAGGCACTGTGCTAAGCAGTGGGCCTAGATTCTCACAGCTTCCTTACAGCACAACTGTGAGGCAGGTACTCTTGTCATCCCCTTTCCACAGGTGTGGAAACAGAGTCAGGGCTACTAGACAAGACTGATAAGTAACATTGGGAAATGGATTTACTATGAGACAAGGGACTGGGCAGCGTGCCAGTTGACTGTCATCACATCAGGATGGAGAAGGGCATTGCATTTGGAACCAGGAACTTGATGGTTCATTGGGGGCTAGGTGACCTAGCATATGTGGCTACATTTGCCCAAGGCTCCACTGGCAGACTCCTTCAATAGCCCATGCATGTGTGTGATAAGAACATGACACTGTCTGTTCATCTCCCAGTCCCCTACTGATCCCATTGCCAGGTTACCTCCCAGCCTCTGACTCTTTCTTCAGAAAGACTGCACATGACTTTACTCAGCTCCTCTGAGCAGCAGAGCTTAGTGTAATAGAAGACTAGAGTTTTTGTCCCTGTGTTTTCTGTTTGAAGGCCTTCCCTCTTTACTTACTGACTCCCTGGAGTTTGGGAAGCAGGTGTGTTAGGAAGAAGCTGGGGCCTGGCCCCACATGTTCTTATTGAAAGTTAACACAGGCAGAAAGATCTCTTTTGGAATGAACCAGGTCCCCAGCCTCAAATCTGCTCATGAGATTTGGACCTCATTGGGCAAGCCAAAGCGAGAGACTAGAGTGCAGCCCTGTCCTCGTCTACACAAACCTGCCTACACTTCAGAGAGGGCCGCCATGGCCTGGTCCTGATGTCTCACAGACTCTTCCCCCATCTAGTTGGGTGTGGTTTTGCTGGCATATTCTGGGCCATGGGTAATACAGAATCCTCTCCCTCCCCATGGGTCCCTTTCCAGCCCTGCATGAAAGTGATTCTCTTCCTCCTGCTGCGCTACAAGACTCCTGGGTGCTGCTTTTCCTCTCATTTTCTAAAACTCTTGCTCACAGTAGGTGGCAGGACCCTTAGGTCAGAGTCTTCTCTGTGTTCCTCCAAACCAGGTCTAAGAAACTGATGCTGTGAGTAGAAAAGCTCTCATGGGAGGCTAGTGTAGACTTCATTAGTAGTGATGAAAGGAAGCCTAGCTTGGGTCAGGGTCCCTGGCCTCATGGGAATACTGGGATCCAGCCCTGACTTAGTTGCTCAGCTCTCCTGGCCCTAGAGTAAGGCTGGGAGGAGGTGGCTGAGTGTTTCCACTCTGGTGACTTTTCCATGGGGGAAGAAGAGACCTGAATGAGGCCTAAGGGAGTCAGTATGGGCTGCAGAGTTGTGGTCCCATGCAGGGTGACCTCAGAGAGAAGGAAGGCTTGAAGCAGGAAGGGTGGGTCTCCAGGCAGACCATGCCAAGACCCAAAGGGGCCACTCCATGAAGTTGCTCCACCTCTGGCCTGCAGACCTTCTGAAACTGCCAGAGGTTATTTGAGGATGCAGAAGGCATTTCCGGCCCTGCCCTTTCCCACACTGCCCTTTCCAGGAGTGACTCAGCCTGGGTTGGGGGTGGAGCTGGGAACCCTTGCAAACATTGTCCAGTGGGTGGTCCTGGGCATCTGAAATGGGCTTATCCAAGAGCCCAGATTAGGTATATATCTGCTCCCTGCACTGTGCAGGACAATTGGAGGGCCTTCTGGATTCTCCCAATGTCCTTCAGGCTGCCACAAATCCTGCTGCAGGCCTGGCCCCCATGAATGAGTTCCTGTGGTCACATAGTTCTCACAGAGCATCAAGAGGCTTTGTGGGTGTCCCTGGTGAAAACTGTCAGGTGCCTCTACCTGGGCTGCTCTCATGGGGCTCAGTGCTTCAAAGCCACAGTCCTGTCTTTGTTCTGTCTCCTGGCTGACTTTATTCTGCCACATCTTGGATTCCTTGGCCCTTAAATAGTTGAGAAATTCCACCTGACTCTGCACAATATCCCTTTCTCACCTGTTTGGCAGTTTGTGTCTACTTGCTGCAGGATTTCCCCAACAAGGAATCCCAGGAGCCTTCAGAGGTACCAGTCACCACATTCAAGCATACCTTTGGGTCTGCTGTTGCTAGAACAGTACAGAAGGCAGGTTGGCCCCAGTGTGTCCATAAGACAGCCAAGTACACAGTCAATTACTTTGAGTTATAGGAAGCATTTTGAGAGAAGGGAAAGTTAGATGCTGAGGTGATGCAAGCAGAAGTACTGACTCTAAAGCATCCCCAAGAACCTTCCTGGATCAGGTCACAGTTAAACTGGCCTTAAAGCCTCGGAAACCCTATACAGGGTCGCTATGAGTTGGAATCGACTCCATGGCACATAACAACAACAGCAACAACAACAAAGCATTAAAAACTGAAGAGGAGTTTGCTCGGCAGAGTTGACCATCCCCAGTAGAGCCAGGACACACCCAGGTTGAGAAGTCTGGTAAACCCATGTGGTCAAGGGCTGGGGCTAACCAAGAAGATGATGAGATGGGGCTGCTGGCCCTAGCACAAGAGTCTGGACCACACACTATGACCTACAGGATGAGGTAGAAAGTTTGCAGAGGCAGGATGAGTTCAGACTTCACCAGAGACTTGCCCAGGCAGCAGGGTGGTCTGGAGAGGTTGACAGGAAGATGAAGATCACCACCCAAGTACCCAGGTGCAAGGGACTAGGCTAGGGCGAGACAGGCTGAAGTCGGAGCAGCGTGGAAGGCAGGCTGGGCAGGATGCAGAGTATATCTGGACTGAAAGAGACAGACAAGGGATGACCTGTGGGACTCGGGCTTGGGTAACTTGGGGTCTACTAGGTTAGAAAGTGGGGATCCAAGACAGACCCCTCTTACCCATTGTTTAAAAGAGAAATGAGGAGGAAGGGCAGGGAGACAATACCTGAAAGGAGAGGTGAAGCTGAAAAACTCACATGGGGGATTTTTAAAAAGAATCAGCTTTTACAACTTCCCAGGCGTGAACTGTCTTCATATATGAAACACAGTGTACACATTCTAGCTACCACTCACCCTTTGTGCTCCCCAGGACCCCAGCTGGGGTACCCTGTCCACCCCGTCCTTGGGCTCCTGAGTGACTAGGGGCTAGTTCTCCATGTGCATCTGGACCCCACTGATGCTCAGCCTATCCCCTCCCCTCCTGCCCATACAGGCACCCAGCATGGGCACCCTCATGGGGGTGTACCTGCCCTGCCTGCAGAATATCTTTGGGGTCATCCTCTTCCTACGGCTGACCTGGATGGTGGGCACGGCTGGGGTGCTGCAGTCGCTCCTCATTGTGCTCATCTGCTGCTGCTGCGTGAGTCTGCTGGCTGGGGCGGGATTGGCCATGACCACCCCACAGAGCCTCCCAAGCCCCAACACCTGGCTGAGCTGCTTGCCTCCTCCCCACAGACTCTGCTGACAGCCATCTCCATGAGTGCCATTGCCACCAACGGTGTGGTACCAGGTAGGTGAGCACTGTCTGAGCGAGGACTGACTGGAGAATGGGGCCCAGAATCCACCTGGGCTTCCCCAGGAGCCTTTACCCACCCTGCCCCACCCCAAGCAGGTCTCTGGTAGGTCCTGGTCCTTGGTTCCTATGACAGAGTCAAACTGCTTAGGAGCTTCCCTGCTTGACAACATTGAAGACTATTGTTGTGTTTGTTTTGTTTTGTTTTATGTCTTTTTGTTTTGTTTAAAATTATTATAAACCAAGCCAAAACAACTGCCATCGAGTCAATTCTGACTCATATCGACCTTATATAAGGTTTCTGAGACTATAAGTCTCTACAGGAGCAGACAACCTCAGCTTTCTCCAGATTATTATAAAAGTAATGCTCTCCTTTTAATAGGCAATGTATGTTACCATAAAAGGGGTTGTGGAAGCACCCATAATCCTAACCAGAGCCCTGGTGTGGCACTGTGGGTTAATGTGCTAGACTGCAAAGTCAGTTTGAACCATATTCAACTTCTGGCATATGGTTGTATGTTCTTAAAAAGCATTGGCTATTATCTGTTGTTATTGTTGTAAAGTGCCAATGAGTTGGTTCTGATGCATAGTGACCCTGTATAGGGTTTCCGAGGCTGTAAATCGGAAAGCTTTGTCTGTCTCCTGTGGAGCAGCTGGTGGGCTTGAACCGCTAACCTTGTGGTTTGCAGTCCAGTGCTTATCCTACAGAACCATAGTGATCTGCTAGCTATAAAAAAACATACATATTGTGTGTGTATATACTTCCTGAATGTTGAATACTGTTGTTGGTTTTTTTGGGCGGGGGCAAGGTTCTCTTAGTTTATGTAATTATTCTCCAACTTTTGGGGTCTACTTTTTAATTTTTGTAAAATTGTTGTCATGAACAGTCTTAAACATGAATCTGTTCAAGCTGTTGGCAGTTCCCTTGAGAGAGTCCTAAAATCTCTTTTAAAATCTTGATCTGATATCTCTCCAGGAAGGTTGTATCAGCATTAGATGCAGCCAGCAACATGGAGACACTTTTGTCCCCTGGGTCCAGGGCTGACTGTCACACTTGCCAGGAGTGTTAGACTCTGATAAAAGCCCAAGCTCAGGGCAGGAGGGTTGGTGGTAGATACACCTGGTAGCAGGCTCTCTGCCAAACCCTAAGGACAAAAACATTAAGTCACAACTTCATCCTGGTCTGGAGGGCTCAGACTAGCAAAGCCATGGCCCTTGTAGTGCTGAGGAATGCTGAGCTAGGACACATCCAGCCAGAGGAGGCTGTGGGGACGGGCTCAAGTGCATGGCATTGGAGGACCATGGGCTACTCAGCCACTGTTGCCACTTAGGCTTCCCCAGCAAAGTTATCAGCTCACTGGCCCATACTGGGCATTGGAGTCAGACGGCAATGAGACCCAACCCAGCCAGCACTTGCCAACCATGCAGCCTTGGCAGATCTTCCAGCTCTTTTGCTCATTTCTAAATGGGAAATGCAGTTTCTGCCTACCTGAATAGTTTTGAGAGCTTGTCTTGGGGAATCCTTTTTGAAGAAGAACCAGCCTCAACTTGTGTATGCTTTCTCTGCTGCAGCTGGGGGCTCCTATTTCATGATTTCCCGTTCACTGGGACCTGAGTTTGGAGGCGCTGTGGGATTGTGCTTCTACCTGGGAACAACATTCGCAGCAGCTATGTATATCCTGGGAGCCATTGAAATCTTGCTGGTGAGTCAGGCTGAGCTGAAGCCAGCCTGGTCATGTCCAAACAGCCCCTTCCCCAGAGACCCAGCTCATTGTGTTCTGCTTACTGCTTGACAGTGTCTGAAGGTTAGGATGGGGGAAGCGTCCCAAGGAGAAGACTTTTTACTCAAACCAGTCTCCCCTTCACCCCTGTCAACTAGGGACAGTCAGAAAAGAAGCCTGGCTACCTTCCCCTTAGCCCTTGATCTTCACACCCACCTGGGCCTGGTGTCAGTTACCAGGTGCTCTGTGAACTGGAGAAGGAATGCAGGAATCAGGAAAAACAAACTGGAACTCTAGGAGCAGGGTCCATGTGCAGGCAAAGGTGATCCCTTACAACGTCTCCTCTCTGGCTCCGAAGGGTGAACATCTATCACACTGTGCTCCCCACTTCCTTCTCCACCTCCTCTCCTTACCAGGCCTTGGCAGGTCTTGGTAATGACACAGAGACTGCCTTCTAGGCCTGTCCCCTTAGGGCTCTGTCCCAGGGCCTTTCAGACTCAGCCTCTTCTTGCTCCTACATCAGGGTGAGCAGCAACACGGCCTAATCTGGAGGTCAGAGTCCTCATCCTGAGCCCCACCAGCGCGCCGGCTCAGCTTCCCACTCCCCACTGTATGGCTCCTGCCAACAGGAAGAGGGCATGCAGTGGGGAGAGATGGCTTGTTTGTTTTTTCTATTACTCATATTCCTTCTACAATTTGTATTTGATATTTCTTCTGTAAGGACAATTTTCCATTCATTCACTCCTTTCAGTGATGAGCCAATACTATTAATTTTTGCTCTAATTTTTCCCACTTTAGCTATTGGGAGCTCTTTCAGGTTGGCTCCCATGATTGACTGGAGCCTCTTTCTTTTTTTGTATAATTCCTTTATTGAGATATAATTGCCCATTTAAAGTATATGTTTTTAGTATATTGACAAAGCGGTACATCCATCACCACAGTTAAGTTTAAAATATTGTCACTGCCTCGAAAAGAGACTACCCATACAAGCCCCTGGCAATCACCAATCTGTCTATGGGTTAGCCTATTCTGGACATTTCATACAAATGGTATCATATAGCATGTGGTCTTTTATATCTGGCTTCTTTTGGATACTGTTTTAAAAAGGAAGCCGAGATGGACAGGTTTCACTCTCCAGATAGGAAGACCAAATCTTTATCAACATCTTCTTGTTCTAGACCTACATTGCCCCGTCGGCTGCCATTTTTTACCCAACAGGCGCTCATGACACATCGAGTGCCACTCTGAACAATATGCGGGTATATGGGACCATCTTTCTGACCTTTATGACCCTGGTGGTGTTTGTTGGTGTCAAGTATGTAAACAAGTTTGCCTCACTCTTCCTGGCCTGTGTGATCATCTCCATCGTCTCCATCTATGCTGGGGGCATCAAGTCTATTTTTGATCCTCCTGAGTTTCCGTAAGTAGACCAAGAATACATCCTCCCTTCTGCCAGGGATTGCAGAGTCCAAATAGGCTGGACAGGTGCCAGTGCCTCTGTCCCTTGCAGAGTGTGCATGCTGGGCAACAGGACCCTGTCTCGGGACCAATTTGATGTCTGTGCCAAAACGACTATTGTGAACAATGAGACAGTGGCCACACAGCTATCAAGCCTCTTCTGCCACAGCCCCAACCTTACCACTGACTCCTGTGACCCCTACTTCCTGCTCAACAATGTGACTGAGATCCCCGGCATCCTCAGCGCAGCGGCTAGTGTTCTCCAAGGTGCGTTCTCCTTCCCGTTCTGCCACGGAGCCCCCCAAGCCAAGGAGAAGGCAGGGACTAGTTGTGAAAGGAGAGCAGAGCACAGAGCCATCGTTGTGCAGCCAGCTTGGGAATGGGGATAGGTCTGGCTGCCTGCCCGGCCCAGCAGTGTCCTCTTGGCCTGGCTCCTGGTAGTTGGGTTTTGGGTAAGCAGAGCCTATTTGGCCAGTGTCCCAGGCCAACATCCCCGAAAAGGTCTGGCAGCTTCCTCTCCCCTCGGCTGCAAGCCCCCAGATGCTTCCTGGGGATGTTCCCACAAGAGCCATAAAGGGCCTCTGTCTAGAAGGCAGGCAGTGGTGGGGCTCTGGCTGGTGGTGGTTTAGCCACTTTTGCCTATCCAACTTCTGCCTGGACAACCCCACCCTAGCCCTCTGGATGACCCTGTTGCCACTGAGTTCCAGTTACTTCCTTGAGCCCCAGAGCCTGCCTGTGTCCTAGGCTTTTGATTAGGTTGCGCTGAACTTCCCTGGGCCTAGGCATGGCTGAGGTGGTGATGTGTCTGCCCCTGCAGAAAACCTGTGGAGCACCTACCTGGAGAAGGGCGAGATCGTGGAGAAGCGTGGACTGCCCTCCACAGACGACGCTGGCCTAAAGGAAAACCTGTCCCTGTATGTGGTGGCTGACATCGCCACTTCCTTCACTGTGTTGGTCGGCATCTTCTTTCCCTCTGTAACAGGTGAGACCCTCTTGTCCATCTGCCCAGCCCTGGCCACAGTCCCAGGGAACTGCTGAGGGAGTTTCATCTGTTTTTGGAGGCATTATGGCGGGCTCAAATCGCTCCGGGGACCTCCGTGACGCCCAGAAGTCCATTCCAGTGGGGACCATTCTAGCTATTGTTACAACCTCCCTTGTGTGTATCCTTTCCCAGGCCTGGGGACAGGAGGGAGGTGTCACGCACACACACTTCTTCCCTATGCACATGAGTGTACATATTTGGGCGTGCACAAGCACAAAGCCTTCCTTGGGTATAGGGGGTCACAGCTGAGTGTTGGCTGAGCCTTGGGCAAGCAGGACGTAGGCACTTTGTGGGAGTTACTGGAGGGTCTAGCTTTCCTTGACATAGCCACAGACTTCAGCAGTGTGGTTCTGTTTGGCGCCTGCATTGAGGGTGTAGTTCTCCGGGACAAGTGAGTGAGATGGGCCCCTCTTGGTGGCAGCGGGCTTAGTTTTACCTTCCCAGACACATCCCTACCCCAGTACTGCTCATATGGCTTCAGACCGCTAGTTGGCAGTGGCATTCTGTCCCACCAGACCACACCAAGACTTTAGCTCCTGAGAGGATGGTGACGTCAGCTGGGTTGGGGTAGGCAGCAGGGCAGGACTGGCTGAGGACCTGCAGACAGGCCTTCTCTGCTCAGGGTCCAGAGCTCTAGCCACCATCACCATCCTTCTCGACTCCTGATATCCCTCTTTCTGGGGCTTGGGGGGCTTCTTACATAAGCATAGCCTGAGCCTGGACCCTGCAGGTATGGCGACGGCGTCAGGAAGAACCTGGTGGTGGGCACATTGGCCTGGCCTTCACCCTGGGTCATTGTTATTGGCTCCTTCTTCTCAACTTGTGGCGCTGGCCTCCAGAGTCTCACTGGGGCACCACGCCTGCTGCAGGCCATTGCCAAGGACAACATCATCCCCTTCCTCCGGGTGAGCCTTCTATGCCCCCACAACCCTGGTGCTCCTGGCCCCTGACACTGACTGAGTGAGAGGTCAGGGATATGGAAGGGGCACCTCCTGCTGACACCCATGGTGGCCCCAGAGCCATTCAGCCATCTGTAAGGAGGAACGGAGAGCGGCCTTAGCACCAGTGTTGGCCTGTGATTCATCCCAAGCAGAGAGACCTGGATACATGGGGGCTGTGGAAGCTTGTGACTCCTGGCGGCGGGGGTGGGGTGGGAGGGGAGCCAGAGGAGAGACTTGGGATGCTGAAGGCCAGGCTGTGGGTATGGGCTAACAGGACCAGCTTCTTCCCCACTGACCCTGATGGTGCTCTGCCTGCAGGTGTTTGGCCACAGCAAGGCAAATGGTGAGCCTACATGGGCGCTCCTCCTGACGGCACTCATCGCTGAGCTCGGCATCCTCATCGCCTCCCTCGACATGGTGGCCCCCATTCTATCCATGTGAGCTGGGGCCAGGCCAGAGAAGGAGTGGGGTGCTGGATGGCTACACCCATTGCCACCTTCTATCAAAGGGATGAGAAGGGCTTGTGAAGGGTTTCCTGAGCCCTCAGCACTCCTCCCATGGTCCGGTCTGCTGTTGAGGGCATATGTATGGAGATGTTTGCCTAGCAGGGCTTAGCCTACCCATTCAGTCAGGAGGAGTATGGACTTAGAGATTGTAAAGAGAACAGTAGAGACCCTCAGCCCCACCCCAGAGCAATCTGGCAGAACTCTGTTCCTGCGGCCTCAGCGGAACTGCCACTGCCCTTACCACGCATCGTCAAAGTCCTTTACATTGAAAGTTTGAGAATGAGCTGGGCATTTGAGTTTGCCGATACCCTAGGAAACGTGGTCACCATGTGGCAGTGGCAGTGTCTGGAGGGCCCTGAGACACTGCTGGTTTGATCGCTGTGTCCACCTCCACCCATGGCAGAGCCCACTCCCATGCCTCCTTGCACATCTGACTCCACTGCAGATGCTTCCTCTTCCTTGTTTAGTTACCAAGGGCTTGCCTTTCACAGTCCACTCAACCTGCAGAGCTGACAGCCCCCACCCCACCATGTACAGCGGACACCCCCAGCCTAGCCTGAAGGAGCCAGCACTGTCTCATGCCCCCAACACACCTCTGCTACTCACTGCTGCCCAGCTCCATCCACACAGTGTACACCTGACACTGTTCTGCCCGAGCCGAGGGTACATCTCAGCCTTGCTCTCCAGCTTTTACTGGGAGTACCTGATAGGCTTGAGCCCAGCCCCTGGTACACCCTCCCCAGTGAGCCCTTCTGCCTCCTCTGCCCCTCCTCTCCTGCCAGCCGAGGCTAGAATCTCCTTCAGTCATTCCCAGGCACACTGCCGACCATCCTTTCCATCTCCCAGCCACCTCACTGTCTGCTAACACTTGGCCCCAGGGCCCCCTGCAGTACCACGACACCTCTGTCTGCGAACACTCAGTCCCAGGGCCCTCTATAGTCCCCCACACCTGTCTGCTAATACTCGCCCCAGGCCCCCCTGCGGCCCCCACCCACCGCCTCTGCTGACACTCCCCTGCTGCCAGGCCTCCTGCCCTTTGGAAGCTGCATCCGCCCCAGATGGGCATGGATCTCCCTGGACCTGGATTCATGCTGTCCAGGGGATGCAGGCAGACCTGGGCCATCATGGCTCAGAGGCCTGAGGAGGCCAGTGATGTCTCTGCCAACCATCTCCCTGTGTTGCAGGTTCTTCCTGATGTGTTACCTGTTTGTCAACTTGGCCTGTGCCGTGCAGACACTCTTGAGAACTCCCAACTGGCGGCCCCGGTTCAAATACTATCACTGGTGGGTGCCAGTAGAGCCTGCCAGGTCCCTTACACGAGAGACTCGGGCTAGTAGGAGCCTTTTTCTACACCGTGTTTGAATTTCCTAGGTAGTGGGTAGCTGTTGATGCCATGCTGTGGTGAGGGGGAATTGGGAACTGAGTGGCTTGGCCCACTTCTCCCACCCAGCTTATGACATTGAATCTAACAGGAACAAGAAGACAGGGGGTGGATAGGCTAGGGTCTTGTCCTGATCTTGCCCTTCTCTACCCTCCAACTCAGGGCACTGTCCTTCCTTGGCATGAGCCTCTGCTTGGCCCTGATGTTCGTCTCCTCCTGGTACTATGCTCTGGTCGCCATGCTCATTGCAGGCATGATCTACAAGTACATCGAGTACCAAGGGTGAGTGAGGAGCTGCCACTTGGCCTCTCCCTGTAGCTTGTACACCACTGAGGATGCCTGATCGGATCACCAGCCCTCATGAGGACTGGGACTTAAGGCTTGGCAGGAACCCTGGGTGAGATCAGGTGCTTACCATGTGGTGGCATGTGCAGGGCCGAGAAGGAGTGGGGTGACGGAATCCGAGGCCTGTCCCTGAGCGCTGCTCGCTATGCACTGCTGCGGTTAGAGGAAGGACCTCCTCACACCAAGAATTGGCGGTGAGTTCACACCCAGACTGGCAAGGACCACCTCCAGGTTCTCAGAGGTCGAAGGTTCAAGAGGTGCTGGCTCCCCTTTCTAGTCCACATTCCCCATCTTGGAGTTGCCTGGGCACCATCTTGTTTCTTTGAGCCCTTGGATCCATGCTACCCAAACCTTGGGACTCCCATCCAAGGAGGCTGAAGAGGAGGAGGGTTCCCTGGAAACTTTGGTCCTGGTCTCAGGCTGCCTTCTCCTCCGGCCATTGCAGGCCTCAGCTGCTGGTACTGCTGAAGCTAGACGAGGACCTCCACGTGAAGTACCCGCGGCTCCTCACCTTCGCCTCCCAACTTAAGGCTGGCAAGGGCCTGACCATCGTTGGGTCCGTCATTCAGGGCAGCTTCTTGGAGAGCTATGGCGAGGCCCAGGCTGCTGAGCAGGTGCCTGATGCAGGGGGCAGGGCACTGAGGTGTCTGGGCTGCTGCTGGTACAGAAGGGAGGGAAGTGGTCCAGGTGGACAGCATAGGTGCCACTTTAGAGTTGGAGGAAGGTAGGCCTCTTTCTAAGATGGCCTGCCCCCTTCTCCTTACCCTAAATAGTTAGAAACTAGGCTTTGGGAAGGAGCTGAGCAGAGAAGTTGGTGGCCCTACCTTCTGAGCCTGGTGTATTCCCACAGACCATCAAGAACATGATGGAGATTGAAAAAGTGAAGGGCTTCTGCCAGGTGGTGGTAGCAAGCAAGGTGCGTGAGGGGCTGGCCCACCTCATCCAGTCTTGTGGCCTGGGCGGCATGCGGCATAACTCGGTGGTGCTGGGCTGGCCCTACGGCTGGCGGCAGAGTGAGGACCCACGTGCCTGGAAGACCTTTATTGGTGCGTCAGGGACCAGGGCCTGGGCTGGACTTGCTGGGATGGGACAGGGACTAACTCTGGAGGCGGAGGCAGGAAGGTCAAGGGCTGGTGGTGAGCAGAACCCTTTCCCCCAGACACTGTGCGCTGTACTACAGCCGCCCACTTGGCCTTACTTGTGCCCAAGAACATCGCCTTCTACCCCAGCAACCATGAACGCTTCCTAGAGGGCCACATTGACGTGTGGTGGATTGTGCACGATGGCGGCATGCTCATGCTGTTACCTTTCCTGCTTCGCCAGCACAAGGTCAGCAGGTGGGTGGGCTTGCCAAAGGACCGGGCCCTGGGAGGGGTGGGTGTGACTCACCAGCCACCTGCTCCTCTTGGCAGGTCTGGAGGAAGTGTCGGATGCGCATCTTCACAGTGGCCCAGATGGATGACAACAGTATCCAGATGAAGAAGGACCTGGCCATCTTCCTATACCACTTACGCCTTGAGGCCGAGGTCGAGGTGGTAGAGATGGTAAGCCACCTTCCCTGACCTGTCCCCTCTTAATATCTGTCTCCCCTATCCCTCCTCATCTGCATGGTTTCTCCTCTCCTAGCACAACAGTGACATTTCTGCCTACACCTACGAGCGGACTCTGATGATGGAGCAGCGGTCCCAGATGCTGCGGCAGATGAGGCTGACCAAGACTGAGCGAGAGCGAGAAGTCAGTGGTCTTGGTTCCAGCCAGGGGTGGGTGGCAAGGTCGGGTGTTTGGACATACCATGAGGTGGGGCATCAGAATGACATCACCAAAGCCAGTGCCAATTCCTGAGGTTGGAGGGTCATGTTGGGTCAACCAGTCTCCCTTTCTTCCATAGCACTGAGGCTCTGTCTTCTCATCTTCAGGCCCAGTTGGTCAAGGACCGGCACTCAGCCCTACGGCTGGAGAGCCTGTACTCAGATGAGGAGGACGAGTCTGCAGCTGGGGTGGACAAGATCCAAATGACATGGACCCGAGACAAGTACATGGCGGCTGAGCCCTGGGAACCCGGCCAGGCCCCTGACAACTTCCGGGAATTAGTGCACATTAAGCCGTGAGTGCAGCAAAAAGGAATCCAGCTACCTCAGGGTCTGGGAGTGGAGGAGATGGGGTAGGGAGAGACAAGTTCTAGGGGCAGGATGGGGACCAGGCCTTCTTGATGGGAGAGTTGACCAGGACTTGTGATCAGCTCTGTACTGCCTACAGGGACCAATCCAACGTGCGGCGCATGCACACAGCTGTCAAGCTCAATGAAGTAATTGTTACACGCTCCCATGATGCCCGTCTGGTCCTGCTGAACATGCCTGGCCCACCCAAGAACAGCGACGGTGATGAGAACTGTATCCCTTTGTAGAGAGGCCAGCAGTGGGGAGGGTGAGGCGTTCTTCTTGGGTGCCCTGGGTGGGGGCAGCCCAGGTTACCCTCATGTTAACGTATGGGTGGGCTTTCCTTGGCTGCCCTTGATCCCGGCCCTGCCTCCTTGACTGATAACCCTGCAGACATGGAGTTCCTAGAAGTCCTGACCGAGGGCCTGGAGCGGGTATTGCTGGTTCGTGGTGGTGGCCGCGAAGTCATCACCATCTACTCCTGAGCCCAGTGCAACCTCATGGCCTGGAGCCGTGGGGTCCAGGGTAACAACCCCCTCCCAACACCTACTCACCTGCCTTGCTCCATCTGGCCCTGCCTGGGACCCAGCTTGCTAGATCTCCTTGAAGACGGGCCTGGGCTTGGCAGTGATGATGGATCCGAGGTCCTGTGAGACCCAGGGTGGTTTGGAGCTTTTCTGACCAGCCCTCAGAAGGCCTACCCTGACTGCAGAGACTGGTGGGGGTTGATGTGGGCTTTGAATGCAGTTGGCCAGGCCAAGTCCAGGAGCTCTATTTATTGCTTATTTATTGTTTGGATGCCATCACCGGAGGAAGGGAGGGCAGCAGGGGAAGGGATCCTGCCCAGCCTGCCTGCTGGAAGGTCTGGCTCAGGCTACTGTGTGCAGGGACCCCTACCAAGCCAAGCCGAGTGGAGCCAGCCAGGCTGAGGCCTGACTTTTTTCAATAAAACATTGTGTTACTTCTGGGCCTCCTATTACCCTGGCTGTTTCCCCAGTGCCAATGGAAGAAGACAGAACTGAGTCCAGGCTCAGAGCTGGCTCCCCAGAGACTGTGCCCTTTCCGGTCATCTCTGGCCACCCCCATTGGCCAGACTGCCCCTCCCACTAGTCCTGGGACCCTCCCACTGCTTACCAGATAAGACCCAGCCCAGGTCTGCTTCAGTGGGCAATAGGCACTAGGGTTGGAATGGGGCCGCTCTGCTCCCCATGGCAGTGGGTGCTGTTGCTGGGGTTGCTGTCCCCTCCTGCCACCCCCTTCTGGCTTCTCAATGTGCTCTTCCCCCCGCACACCACGCCCAAGGCTGAGCTCAGTAACCACACACGGCCCGTCATCCTCGGTAAGCCCCCGACAGGCCCTGATGAAAGGCCAGCCCCTGGTGGTGGACCCAGCCAGGCCCTGACACCTGCCTCGGTGTTCCAAGGGGCCAAAGGCTGGTCCTACAGAAAACTTGTCCCCTTACCCCACTACACTTTTCCTGTGTTCCAGGGGTTGTGGGGTACCTGAGGATGTGACCAGAGCATTTATTATAAGCAGCAGTTAGCTGCAGACATACTAGACCCTGGACCCAGCCCTCTGATCCCTCCTTGGGCCCCACCCCATCAAGAATAAGGGGCCTAGCCCAGGGCAGGAGAGCCCCATCAAGCCCCCCGCCCCATAACTATTTGTTCTCACCTTGGACTTTGCAGCAATGAGAGCTGGGCTGGGTGTTTGCTTTGCAGAGCCAGAGATCAGTGGCCTTGGCCCCTGCACCTTCTGTGCTCAAGGGGAACCCAGGCTTTGGGCTGCTGAGTGGGGGTGTTGGGTAAGCAGGAATCAGAAAGAACAACAATGTACGGATGTTTGGGGGTTGAGGGCAGGTGAGAGGTTATGGTGGATGACTGCAGTGTCTGGGGGTGGGACTGGGTGGGGGCCGTGGGGATTTCAAGGGGTCCAGAGTGAGGGCTGGTGCCCGCAGTGCCTGGCTGCTTGGGGAATCAGCTGGAAGCTAAGCTGGACAAACCAGACGTAGTGAACTGGATGTGCTACCGCAAGACTGAGGACTTCTTCACCATCTGGCTGGATCTCAATATGTTCCTGCCCCTGGGGGTGGACTGCTGGATTGACAACACCAGGTATGTGCCATGCCCTCCACTCTAGCCCCTATGCCCTGCCCTTGGCTTCCTGTCTGCTAAACAACCCACTGTCCCCAGGGTTGTCTACAACCGCAGCTCTGGGCATGTGTCCAATTCCCCTGGTGTACAGATTCGTGTCCCCGGCTTTGGCAAGACCTACTCTGTTGAGTACCTGGACAAAAATAAGTTGGCAGGTACGTGCATTGGGGGAGAGGGCAGGGCCTCCAGGAGCTAGAACCTGAGCCCCCAGTGCCGCTGCCTCCTCCACAGGTTACATGCACACACTGGTGCAGAACCTGGTCAACAATGGCTATGTGCGTGATGAGACCGTGCGGGCCGCCCCCTATGACTGGCGGCTGGAACCCAGTGAGTGACTAGGTGACAGGCTTGGGTAGGGGTGAGTGGCTCCTGACCCTTAAAGGTCCTGACTCCACCCACCACCTACAGGCCAGCAGGGAGAGTATTACCAGAAGCTTGCTAGGCTGGTAGAGGAGATGCATGAGACCTACGGGAAGCCTGTCTTCCTCATTGGCCACAGCCTTGGCTGCCTGCACCTGCTCTTCTTCTTGCTGCAACAGCCCCAGTCCTGGAAGGACCGATTCATCGATGGCTTCATCTCTCTTGGGGCTCCCTGGGGTGGCTCCATCAAGCCCATGCTGGTCCTGGCTTCAGGTGAGAGGCCTCTATTCATCCATTATCCCCTTACTGCAGCTTCTGCACCATGCCATCCCTGGCTGGCCTCCGGATATGATGCCTCCCCCAGGGGCTCCAGCATGGATCTCCCAGAGCAAAGAGCTTGCTTGGCCTGGACCATTAGAATGGCTCCTGCCAGAGTGACAGGCATGACACCCTAGCAACCTGACTCAGAACCCAAAGTTTGCCCCAAGTCCTGCCCACCCAGCTTTCAACAGCCTTTTGCTCCCATGTGCCCCTTTACCCAGGGATCTGCCCTCCTCAGGGTCAGGTTTGGAGAACCTCTCCTGCCCTTTCCTGAAGAGGGGCACCAAGGACCCAGCACAGCCAGAATAGGCATAAACTCAGGTGGGGGAAAGAGATGGACATCAGATGATAATGAGACGGATCAGTGCCTAACAGTCAGGGTTTCTTTCTTGCTTCCCAGACACAACTCTGGCCCCATACAGCATAAGCCCCAGACATACACCACCAGTCCCACACCCTGAACCTCAGGAAACCCGTCCCTGTCCTCTGAGGCTCCATCCACTAAGGTGCCATCTGGACTTGACACTGAACACCTACTGAAAGCCAGGCCTATTCTAGTCTGAAACTTGGAGCCGATGTTTGTATTGGGCAATGACAAGATTCAACATCCAACTGAGCCCAGCTTGGCTCCCTGTCTACCTTGCTATAATATCCACAGGTGACAACCAGGGTATCCCAATCATGTCCAGCATCAAGCTGAAAGAGGAGCAGCGTATGACAACCACCTCTCCCTGGATGTTTCCGTCCCAAATGGCATGGCCTGAGGACCACATATTCATTTCCACACCTAGCTTCAACTACACAGGCCGTGACTTCAAGCGCTTCTTTTCAGACATGCACTTTGAAGAAGGCTGGTACATGTGGCTACGGTCACGTGATCTGCTGGCAGGGCTCCCAGCCCCTGGGGTGGAGGTCTACTGCCTATATGGCATGGGCCTGCCCACGCCCCACACCTACATTTATGACCATGGCTTCCCCTACACGGACCCTGTGGCTGCGCTTTATGAGGACGGTGACAACACAGTGGCCACACGCAGTACTGAGCTCTGTGCCCGCTGGAAGGGCCTTCAGTCCCAACCTGTGCACCTCCTGCCCCTGCGTGGCACACAGCACCTCAACATGGTCTTTAGCAATCACACACTGGAGCACATCAATGCCATACTGCAGGGTGCCTACCGTAGTGGCTCCCCTGCACCCTCTGTGACCAGCCCAGGACCCCTGTCTTCTGAATAAATCTTCTTTGCTGCTCTAAGCTCAGAGGTGTATTGTGGATTAAGGGGTGGGGTGGGGCACTAGGGTCCACAAACAACATGGGCCAGCAAAGGGCAAGCTGGGTTCTCAATCTGAGACTGAACTAGACACTCTGAAATAGCCAGCCAACCAGTCTCCAGAGTTGCTATGGGGCTAGTCCTATGCCTCTCGCTGTTTCAGGCATGATAAATACACAGGGTGCAGGGGGAAATTGGAGTTGGCCCTCCCAGCACCCAAAACGCAAGAACGAACCCACCCCTAGACAGGACTTCTTGAGTACTTCCTATGTGAGTGACAGAGACATATGTTTAGAATCTGCTGGGACCTATGTCACCCAAGAAGCTTATGAGCCTGCTAAGTGAAGCTAAGTGCTGTGAGAGTCGTATAGGAGGAGCAAGAGTCCGCAGCAAGAAGCTGGCAGCCTTGAAGGTCAGGGTAGGCTTCCCAGAGGAAGTGGTGCTGATGCTGCAGTCAGAGGGATGAGAAAATTAACATGAGCCACTGAAGATATGAGCTAGAGCCTAAAAGCAGAGTGCAGCTGCTGAACGGTTTTAATCAAGAGAAAAGTGGGCTGGGTGGGAAATCCAAGGCCAGGTGAGAGGATTCCAACTGAGATGAAGACAGTAGTAAGGAGATAGATGTGAACAGATAAGGAGTATTTGGAAGAGAAGATTACAAGTGTTGGTGGGTAGGGTCCAGAATGCTGCCAGGCCACTATATGAAAAGCCACAGTGCCCCTTCTGAGATAGGAACATGGGAGAACCAGCATCCAATGTGCCTCAGAGTTGAGCCTCAGGATTGAGGTCCCAATGAGGCAGGAGTTGGGAAAGGGTGACAAAGGGCTAATGATATCAGAAATGCATGGTGCTAACAGGACACGTCAGCAGTTTGAAACTACCAGCTGTTCAGCGGGAGAAAGATGAGGCGTTCTGCTCCCTTAAAGATTGACAGCCTCAGAAACCCTGTACAGGGTTGCTATGAGTCGGAAGCGACTCCATGGCACATAACCACCACCAACAGGGCACATAACTGATTTGGTCAATAGTATGACAGGCAGCTTTAGGGTTTTAGGAGTTAAGGTTATAAAGTTAGGGTTAAGGTAGGAAACCTGGGGGTCTAAAAGAGAAGTGGATGGTAGCCGGCAAGGGTTTACCTGTTTGCTTAGAAAACTCAGAAGGAAGGTGCATCCCTCATCATCCCCCACCCCCATTCCCAAGCTGCCTAGAACCAGAAGGCGAAAGTGAAAGGCGGAAATGCTAGTAACCGTTGTATAAAGGTGAAAGCGAAAGCATCAAACTTGGTGTCCTGGGCCAAGGACATTTTCACTCCCACAGCTGCGTGCCCCTCTTCTGACCAATCGATCTATATAGCCCCTGGTCTGTCCAGTCTGACCTGAGATGCAGAAGCCAGCGCTGGAGCCCCGAGGGGGCTTTTCATTCGAAAATTGCCAGAGGTGAGTGTGGACAGGGGTTGATCCCAAGCCACTGATGCCCACCAACAGAGCAACAGAGCTTAATAAGCAAGAACGAAAGGTGGTGAGCACTTGGGTTCTAAGGCTTACCCCAGGAAGAAGAGCTGAGGGCGGCTTTGAGGGGGTTGGATGATTGAGGTTAAGGGATTCGAAAGAACCGAAACTTGGGTCACAAACTCCCTTTCCAGAAACGCATCCCTGGAACGCGTTCTCCCAGAGCTCCGGGCCCCTCATACGCGCAAAACTGGGACTACGATTGCGGGTCTCGTTTTCCAGGTGAGAGGTTGGGAGGGCTGGGCGAACCCAGAGTGACGCCTGGGGGACATGGTAGACAGAGCCTGTTGTCCCCTTCAATCTTCTTAGGACGGGGTCATTCTGGGCGCGGACACGCGGGCCACTAACGACATGGTCGTAGCAGATAAGAACTGCGACAAGATTCACTACATCGCCCCCAAAATCTAGTGAGGACACCCCCGGCCCCCCGCCCCCTCAAGAACTACACCTCCCCCCCCCAGTCTCCACGCCTCGTCCACCACCCTCGCTTCCGCATATCCTAGCCCCGCCCACAAGACCCTCCCTTCGCCCTCAGTTGCTGTGGGGCTGGAGTAGCCGCAGACACCGAGATGACCACGCGAATGGCGGCGTCCAACATGGAGCTACACGAGCTGTCCACAGGCCGCGAAGTCCGTGTGGCTACCGTCACCCGCGTTCTGCAGCAGATGCTCTTCCGGTGCTGGGGGCGGGGCCGACTCCAGGAGGGCGGGGTTAAGGGGACGTGGACTAGGCAGGCGGGTGCCGGGAGACCGGAAGGGACTGGCCTAAGAAGAGACCGGCAACAGGAAGCAGCGGTGTCATTGATGGGGCTGTAGACCAGGGAAGAGGTCGGGTTCAGATGGGGGGGCGGGGTGTGAATTCCGAAGCATGTGGATGACGGCTACCACCCCGCCGGCAGGTACCGCGGTCACGTGGGCGCATCGTTAATCGTGGGCGGTGTAGATGTCAAAGGGCCACAGCTCTATAGTGTGCATCCCCATGGCTCCTACAGTCGTCTGCCTTTCGCGGCCCTGGGTGAGTGCTTCCAGCCCTTCCCTACGGTCCCCACCCCCCGCGACTTTGGCCTCACGTTCGCACCTTTCCCGCATGGGGTGGTCGCGACTGACCTCAGATGCCTCTCCTGCCTGCAGGTTCTGGCCAGGACGCGGCCATGGCGATGCTGGAGGACCGGTTCCAGCCCAACATGACGGTGAGCGACCCTGAACCTCACTACGTAGTTACTGTTGGGAAGTGCAGCTGGGAGCTGGGGGAGCCCAGAGGGACCCTGGCACGGTCTGAAGGTCGAGGGCGGCCTCCCAGAGGAGACTTTGAGAAGAAACAGAGGTATAAGCGAAGCGTGAGGAAGGGAAAGTGGTCGAGACAAACGACCGTCAGTGTTTAAGGCTGAATAGTCCCAAGGATTCGAAGCTCAGAGAGACCCGTTTGGTAGTATGGGAACGGCCAGTGGGGCCCTAACTTGAGGTGTGGAGCCCGGATTTTGTTTGGGGTGGCTAGTAGATGACTTATATCGTGAAAGAAACTGTTAAGGTCCAGGAGGGAAACGCGGTGACTCATGGGATGGGGCCAAGAACAGATTGAGTGGGGACAGGCTGGTGGAAGCAAAGTAGCTCATGTAGACAACACTGGAAAGTTGTGGCAGTGGGCAGAGGGAATCTGGGGTCTTGGGAGAGAGGAAGGCTAAAGCCAAAGAGAGGGGTGTCAGGGGAGAGACGAGATGAGATTGGATGCAATAATCAAGGTGTAGGGATTTGACTCAACAGCACTTAACAAGGGATTACCAAAGCCCTCAGACTGTGGCAGAAGAGGTCACATCAGGCCTCACACCCTCCTTTATCACAGCTGGAGGATGCACAGGGGCTGCTGGTGGAAGCTGTTACTGCAGGGATCCTAGGTGACCTGGGCTCCGGAGGCAGTGTGGATGTATGTGTGATCACCCAGACTGGTGCCAAACTGCTGCGAACACTGAGCTCACCCACAGAGCCCATGAAGAGGTGGGAGCAGTGGGGTGGGGAAGGATGGGGCGGAGTAGCAGGGAAGCTAGGGGGCTGCAAGAAGAGGACATGAGGGGCTTGTGTTTAGAAGACGGTGCCCTTCCTTCCAGATCAAACCAATATCAATATGCTCCTGGGACCACGCCTATCCTGACCCAGACTGTGAGGCCGCTTACTCTGGAGCTGCTGGAGGAAACTGTGCAGGCCATGGAGGTGGAGTGAAGTAAGCTGTGGCTGAGAGCTTAAAATAATGAGAAATAAAACCACAAAATGCAAGCACCTCAACACAGGGCTGTGTTGTTTTTCTTGGGTAGAGGGTAGCAGGCAACCAGCAGGGCCCTGTGGTCCCCCGGGTGACCCTGCAGCAGCCACTCCCTTCCATGACTCCAGCGTCTGGCCCAAAGGCACCCATCTCCATCACCTCAGATACTGATCTCTATAGGAACCCATCTATCCCTTGCAAACAGTGCAGGTGCAAAGTGGAAAGCTCACATCTAGTTGCTCCCAAACTTCCCTTCAGACTCTTCACATCACAGATGCTCAGCCTGCCACTCTCCTGCCTAGCTCTTGCTTTCTAGTCTACTGGGACTGTCACAATGCCCCAAAGGCCTCATGTATGTACCCCCCCAACCCCCTACACACATAGAGTCTTTGCCCATCTCTTCAGTGTCCCAGGACAAGTGAGCCTACCCACACCCCTCAACCAGACCTTCCAGGGTTTAAAGTGTTGACCCCAAGTTCAGCCTTTAACTCAGATCCTCAGGCCCTGAGTTATTTACATGAAGCTGAGCTATCTGCACATGCTAGGCCATGAGGAGCAGGATAGACTCAACTTCTCTAAAATGGCAGTTCAAACCGACCTTGTGGTCAAGTGCTTATCGTACAGCGCCACACCAGGACTCCTGCTGGTATTTAAAATACCAGTGGCATAGTTGCCAGCATCACAGCAATATATACACCACTACAAGGTGTGGCACTGTGGGTTAATATTGCCAGACTGCAAAGCCGTTTGACTGCAAGGTCGGTGGTTCAAGCTCACCAGCTGCTCATTGGAAACCCTACACAGGGTTGTCATGGGTCAGAACCAACTTGATGGCAATTAACAACAACAATACAACCTAAGCTGACTTCTCTGCCATGAACTTAACTGGCCCAGCAGATGCCCTCAGAAGATACTGTTTTGATTAGGTCTTTTTTTAAAGTATCCTAACAAGACCAAGATAAGTTACTACTGAGAAAGCTTGTCTAGAGCCATCCAGAGAGCCATCAGAGAGACGTTTAAACATTTGATTTGGAATAAACCAGTGCATATATGAACTGGAACCCTAGTAGCAATATTCTTTGCTTACCCTGTATTTGCTTTGTTGTTGTTAAGCACCGTGAAGTCAGTTCTGACTCATAGCGACCCTGTATAGGGTTTCTAAGGAGTGGCTGGTGGGTCTGAACCACTGACCTTGCAGTCCAGTACTTTATCCTACAGCACCGTACCATCAGCACCATACCATCCATCATCATCTTATTTTTTTGACTGATGTGTTCTTGAATCAAAGCACTCACACCCGTGGAATGAGACCAGACAACTCACCCAGTGCAACTTTCCACACAGGGGCATCCTTTCCCGCTCAAGCTCAGCCCGGAACTCAATAGCAGATAAGCTTTAGAAGCCAGGGGCTTGCTCACAGGAGCCCCAATGCCTGTCAGCTGATGTATTTGGTGGCTGTCACCCTTCTGGTCACTTCAGTCCAGTGATTCTGTTAGTTACTGAGGGCTCTTGCCTTACCCTTCTATACATCAGGTCCCTCACAAGCAGCACTAAGAACAGACAGATGAAGATTTGGGTCCAACCCCACCATGTGCTGGTAGGAGTCACAATCATAGCAAAGCCATGAGTGAGGAATGACTCTGATGGTGTGTTAGAATTCACAACCTGCCATAAACTCCCTCCTGGCCACACGGCCCTAGCATCCCACAGCAGAGCTGGCCACTCTCTCCAGTCAGGAACCCACCTGGGTGCTGATCAGACTTGTCTGAGAATCTGGGACCCCTTATGGTCTTATGCAACCTCTCTTTGAGTTCAGCCACTAGGTTGCCACTATACCCTAATTTTACCAACTGTTCTTGGTCCCTAGTAATCAGTACTTGGCATGTGAGGTGGTTCCAGAGGCCAATCAGAGGCTTAGGGCTTGGGGGGTGGAGGTGAGAGCTTCACACCTGGGTTCTGTCTGATAAGTCCCGGCACCCCAGGCCCTTGGGTTGGCAGACCTTGACCTAAAAAAGGCCCTTCCGCCTGACGAGCATGGGAGGGGGCTAAGCACATACACCTGGCTGGGCTTCAGTCCCAGGACTTTGGCCCAAGGACAAGGAGTCTTATAAATCGCCCAGCCTAGGTCTTGACTTCACACCTGCCATAATGCTGCTGCTCAGACTGACCCTTAGCCTGGTTCTCCTCGGAGCCTCCAGGGGTAAGTAGGTTGGGATCAGCTCCCAATAGGGGCCACAGGAATAGCCAAGCTGGCTGGGAGGGGGCAGGTAGGCAAAGTAGGAAGGAGTGTTCCAGGCACAGTGGTGGTAATATGCTTGCAGGGCTGAGAGGAGGCAAGGGGTTAGATAGGAGCTTGAGCCAGGTGTGGGGGTCAAGGAGGGTTTAGGAAGTCGGGACATGAAGGGTTAGGGTACACATGCAGTTCAGAAAAGTGTCCTCAGGCTACCTGAAGAATCTCCATTGCTGAGGCCTGGAGCAGGCAGGGAGGTCGGAGAGGAGCCTATCCCCAGGATCTGGGAGGACAGTGACCTAGGCTGGAAAGAAGGATGGAACTGATGGGTAGGTGGGGGTAGGCTGGAGAAAGAACAGGCCGGACTTGGGGGGCTGGTTGGATAATGATAATGGCAACTATGAGGCCTCTGGGTAAGAAGAGGCAGTGAGGGACTCCCCTGATTTGGACCCCTCTGGGAGCATCTGGGGATGGAGGAGGGTTGAGGTCAGGGAGACAAGTCCTAACCAGTCTGATGGCCAGGCTGCGGTGTTCCTGCCATCAAACCAGCACTGAGCTTCAGCCAGCGGATCGTCAACGGGGAGAACGCAGTGCCAGGCTCCTGGCCCTGGCAGGTGTCCCTGCAGGTATACATGCTCTGAGGGTGGGGTAGGATCCCAGGTATTTACCTAGGCATAGCCTGAGCCCATTGCCACCTCTGACCCTTGACCTCAGGACAGCAGCGGCTTCCACTTCTGCGGTGGGTCCCTCATCAGCCAGTCGTGGGTGGTCACTGCTGCCCATTGCAACGTCAGGTGAGCACTTTCACTCCAGCCACCTTGCCCAACATTCGCAGACACTCTGTACCATTGTCCCAACCATACTCTCTCTGCAGCCCCGGTCGTCACTTTGTTGTCCTGGGCGAATATGACCGATCATCCAATGCCGAGCCTGTGCAGGTTCTGTCCATCTCCAGGGTGAGTTACGAGGTGGCAGAAGTGGGAAGGGAGGTGGACAGTGCAGGCAGGGGTGGGTGGGCTTCGGGAACTAGAAATTTAGGCATGTCCTAGGCCCCTCAGTACCCACCAATCTCGGATAACTGTGCCACTTCTGCCCTCCATGGCCCCCTCCTGCTCCACAGGCCATCACACACCCTAGCTGGAATCCCACGACCATGAACAACGACCTGACACTCCTGAAGCTTGCCTCACCAGCCCAATACACGACACGCATCTCACCAGTTTGCCTGGCTACCCCCACGGAGGCGCTGCCTGCAGGCCTCACATGTGTCACCACTGGCTGGGGCCGCATCAGTGGTGTGGGTAGGAATGAGGGCCAAGGAGCGGGTAGGGCAAGGTGGGGACAGGACGTCCTGGATTAGCCTGACCACTCCCTCCTGTCCTACAGGCAATGTTTCCCCAGCACGTCTGCAGCAGGTGACTCTGCCTCTGGTCACTGTCAATCAGTGCCAGCAGTATTGGGGCTCACGAATCACTGATGCCATGATCTGTGCAGGTGGTTATGGATCTTCCTCCTGCCAGGTCAGCACCAGCACCCCCTCACACAGACTTTTCCAGCACCCCAACCTCAGCAATGGTCCCAGGGCACACCCCCACACTGATTTTTTTCCCTCTCCTTTCCTCTCAGGGTGACTCTGGCGGCCCCCTTGTCTGCCAAAAGGGGAGCACATGGGTACTCATTGGCATCGTGTCCTGGGGCACCTCCGATTGCAATGTACGCACACCTGCCATGTACACTCGGGTCAGCAAGTTCAGCTCTTGGATCAACCAGGTCATAGCCTACAACTGAGTCTAGCACAAGCCCCTCTCCATTTCAATCCAATAAAGACTCCAGGCTCTATTCTGTGCATTCTTGTCTATCAAACTTGTTCTGGGGGTCCCAGTCCTCACTTGGAGTATCTCTTCTGATGAGTGAGCGTGTTCCTCAGTAGCCATGCCTGGATTGGGTGTCCACCCCACCACCTACTAGGCAGCCCCTGGTCCTTCCAATAAGAAGTCAGGATCCTGGAACAAATGGGCAGCCTTCCCCAGGGTGGGCAGCCTGTTTATTGAGTACAGAGGATACATTTACAAAATGAGTACACAAAATAAATAAGTGCACATTCTCCATCCAGTCCATGGCTTGAAGGTCTGGGGGGCGGGGGTTGGCTAGCAAAGGTCCAGGTTTCTAAATCCCTCTGGCCTATATCCTCAGGACCAGGCCTAACCTGGATCCAAGAAGGAATAAATCCCCAGGGCTTCAGGCCCCAGAGGCACTTGGGGGTTTGTGAAGGGCTATAGGGTTCAGGTTCTCCACAGTCTCCTGCCCTGGGGCACAGGTGGACAGAGGGAGGGGTTGTGTAAGGCACAGTCAACATGGCATTGAGTGGTTGGTCTCTGACTTGGTTTCCCACTGAAGGGGGCATGCACAGAAAAGGAGAGCCTGGCCCAAGGATGCCCACCAAAAGGAGCTGAGTAGGGACCAAACCCTCCCTGCTGGCAGGGACCCTGTGGTCCAGCTAAGGTCAAAGCTGGGCCCTGACCCTTCCCAACCCCTAGAAGCAGCTGTGGAGGGAGGGGGTTTGGGGATGGTTTTGGCTCAGACCTCTGGAAAAGCGGCCACCTAGCCCCACCCACCTCCAGTTAAAACTCAGTGGAGCCCAGCCTGAAAGAGATGCTGGGAAAGGAAGCAGGGGTGGGCAGGATGGGCAAGGCCAGCTGTGAGAAGGCCAGTGCCCAGAGGCACTCAGGGTTCAGAGGCAGATCACACAGTATGGCTAAGTTCCCAGGGGAGCTGCACCGAGGTTCAGCAGAAAAGGAGGACCGAGCAGCCCACGACCCTCACAAATTCAACAGCTCCTGTCTTCCCACTTTCCCTTTCCGCTTCCCCAATGGGTGTGCAAGGTGGTCACTCCCAGGCTGCTCACACCCATTCCAAACGCTACATGGCATCTTCATGCAACTGCTGAGATGGAGCGGCAGAAGGACTGGCAATGGAATTCTGATGGGGTTCCCCTCTGCCTTGGCCCAGGTGCCCCATCCCCAGGCAGCAGCAGTGGGGCTCGCTTTAATCCTCCACAGTTGGGAAGGAGGCACCTGGGGAATAGAACAGGTTTCCAAGGGGGAGAAGGAGGTGATAGGGGGCTTTGCAAAGGCAATGAGGATGCTGGGCTGGGGATGGACTGGAATTCTCTTATCATCAAAGAGGGCTGAGCTTGGGGCAAGCCTGCTGCAAGTCCCAGGATGGCCACACAGTCCAAAAGAGCCCACATCTATTTATGCCATGGCCTACCACCATAGGCCCTAGCCAGCCCTGGGGTCAGGAAGGGTGTCTGGGGCACCATGAAGGCAGGCAGTTGTTGGCTGGGAGGCAGGGTACTGTTTAGACCCCGTCAGGGTACAAGCATCATCTTCATCAAGATGCCATGAAATGAAAGGGACCAGGAAGGAAACCTGTGCAGAGAAGGTTGTTCTAAAAAGTTCTGGGCCTACAGGATACCCTTCACCCTGCACTGCATGCCCCTTTGGTCTGGAGAAAGTCACAGAATGAGAGAATGAAGCCTAGGTTCCGTCAAGGCTCCCCAAATTGTAACCAGAACATTTGCCCACCAGAAGAGGCAACAGTACCTGGCCAGTTTGCCAATTCAGGGGCACATAGTGCCCCCCTAGGCCACCTCCATTCTGTTGTACCAGGCCCAGGCCAAGGGTGATAACAGAGATGGCTAAAGGCCCAGAGATGGGGCTGGGGCCACCTTCCACCTACCTCTGGCTATAGAGGCCTATCCAGAGAAGGCTCAAACAGCCAGGACCATGCACATCTGCACCATAGCCAGGTTCAGCCATTATACTGCTGCTGGTAGCGCAGGTTGAGCTCCCGCAGCTCGCGCTCCCGGACGCGGCGAGACTTGTTGGAGCGCGTAGAGCGGCTAGAACGTGTGGACTGGGCAGATTTGGTGCTCTGGCAGCGCGAGGAGGCGCGTTTGAAAAGGTTCTGGGAGATAGAGCGGTGCAGGTTCTTCATGGATGAAGAGGCTGCCATGCTCACCACCCATGGGTGCCTCAGGGCCTGTAGTGCTGTCATGCGAGCGCCGGGGTCCACCGTCAGCAGGCGGTCAATGAAGTCTTTGGCCAGGTTGGACACGCTGGGCCAGGGCTAGAATCAAGGACAGGCATCAGAGCAAGGGCACTTAACACTGTCCTCCCCATCCCAACAATGCCGCCACCACAGTACCCAGCCTGGCCAGCATCCCCTAGATGGAGCAGTACTGCCTCATTCCATATAGAGTATTCTGGGGCCCCCATCCCACCACCCAAAACTGGCCCAAGCTGCAGGGCAGGGGCTGCCCTCTGGGTGATGAGAAGTCTAACTCTCTGATAAAAGAGTCCCATTTACCAGGCAGCAAGCTTCTAAGGTGCTGTGGACCCAAAGCCTGGCTCAGAAAGGTGGTCTCTGCCAAGGTTCCCGACACACTATCCCCAGGATCACCATATCTTGAGGGGATTTAAAGAAAGTCACTTAAAGGTACCCCCATGTTTCAAGTCAGAGTTAAGCTTCAATACCTGAATGCTCACACCAGACCACTTTGAGGGGAAACTCCTAACACTTGAAAGGATTTGACCTCCTTTCAAATGATGGTGGTGGTGGTGGGGGGTTATCAGACTCTGCATGAGCCCAGCCTACCAGCCACAGAAAAAGAGAAACCATTCAAATCACGAGATTTCTCAGTCAGTTGAGGAGACAGGGGACTCATGGGGATAGGCAGGGACAAGAAGTCTTTCTCCAGGGCCCTCTCTACATAACTTCTACATAACTTCTCTAAGCCATGCAGGGGCTCCCTAGCAGTGTTCTGTGCCAGCCTCATTCCACTACATTAAGATGCCCTCTAAGTGCCTTGTGCTTACAACGATTAATTCAGCTAGAACCTTGAGATTGTGATTTAAAATTTATTATCCCCATGAGACTGTGCTGAGCTGGTATAGCAATAGGCATGCAAGCCCAGGGATGTCACCTGGTGGGTGACCTCTCCTAGAGCTGTTTCCGGGCCATTGGGTTCAGCCAGGAGGCCTTGACTCCCTGGGTCTGCATGTCCCTCTGCTGGAGGAGGGCTGTCCTGCTCGGAGCTGGGTATCTCTGGGAAGCCCAACTGACAAGGGCTCTGGTGTTCCCAGAGGCTGAGGGATCAGACCTTCCCTGAGCCTGCTGCAAATGGCTCAGCTGGGATGCCAAGGATACCATCACCTTCCTGTTGGGTAGGGTCAGTCTGCTCTGCCATGTGACCCCTCATCTTGGAGAACCCCTGAATATACACTCCAGGGAGCTCAGGAAAATCTTACACTTGGGGAAGCCAACAAGCCAGTATGGAGCAGACACCTTTACACAATGACTACTGTTAACTCCAGGCTGGGTCTCTGTCCTCCAATTCTGTACTGGGCTAGGGTAAGGAGAGCCCACGGGAATCCTGAGGAAAGGGAGGATTTATTTGTAGGTATCATCCTCATCTGGAGTCCTGGTATGGTGCCATAGGATAAGCATTCAACCATGAGGTCAGTTTGAACTGCAAGATCGGCGGTTCAAACTCACCAGCAACTCCTTGGAAACCCTATGCAGGATCACTATGAGTTGGAATTGACTTAATATCCTCATCTGCCCTTTAGGAGGCAAATCTTGAGCTGTTCTAGAAAAAAGTGACAGTACAATCATGTTCCCAAACAGCCACCTGACAAGAGTCCCCACACCCATGAGGGCCAACTCACAAGGATCTTGGGGAGACACTGACCCTAAGAAGGCAGCTACAAGAGTCCAAGGACACCTTGCAGTTCGAGAGGGTGTTATTTAGAATCAGTCAGAGTACAAGCAAAAGCCAACCTTATTCCCCAAAGCAGCCTGGTCTGCATTCCCCTGAGGGACCATGTAGTTTAGGGCTCAGTACACAGGCCAGCATAAAGGGACTGGACTAGACAGTTGCTACAGCAACTTTCAGTTCACCACTCTAGGCAGCCATAGAACAAAAGGAGCCACTGGGAGGGGTCAGTGCGGACCTTAGACACTTATTTGAGAGACAGAGATAAGTAGGTCTCACAGGACACCTAATGGGCACAGAAACCTACAGCCTGACAGCTTGAGTCATGAGAACCTGCATGCTGCCATGCCTTGCTTTCTCCGATCACCAGGGTACAAGCTGCAGCTCAGCCTGGCTTCCAAGAGTTGGCAGGCTGAGCTAGCCCAAACATAGCTGGGACCAGGCTATATAGTCAAGGAGTTCTGGTAGTGTAGTGGTTATGAATTGGGCTGCTAATCTCATGGTCAGCAGTTCGAAACTACCAGTTGTTCCGCAAGAAAAAGATGAGGCTTTCTGCACCCATAAAGATTTACAGTCTCGAAAACCCTGTGCAGGGTCTCTATGAGTCGGAACCGACTCCACGGCACGTAACAACAACAACCTCTTGGTCCCATCAAGACACTAGAGGAGCACCTTTCTGCAGAGGACAGAGTAAATGGTAGTGAAGTAAAAGTGCACCAGCCAGGAACCTGAACACAGTTTTCCCTATTCACATCCACATCTGGTCAAACCAACGCCACCCACAACGCCAAGCTAGAAGCACCCCTGCAGAGATGCTGTCTTGGATGAGCCTCTCCCCAGACCCATCTCATGGACTTAAGCATCTCCATCTTCGGAGTGGCACAGACTCGCACCAGGCATCAACCCCTGCTGCTCATTGAGCAGCCAGATGGTTAGTGCCAAAGTGAGCCAGATCGATCACTACCCCAGACTCTCTCGCCTCTTCAGTCAGCACAGCGGTGCAGCTGTGTGCAGAATGCCAATGGACTCATTTGTCTAAGAGCCAGCCCACCCCTCAAG